TGTTGTGGTATGAATTTAGAGAGAGGGAAGAGAGGGAAATCGGCAGAGCATTGTGATATTTCTGATGTTTTGTATCTTTATATATACGCTAGTAAGGAAGAGAGAAATTTGTTGTCTAAGTAATACAAACATTAATAGAAAAGATCTTCTAAATCTCATAGGATTCTTATATAATCTCTATTTAGGATTTGCACAATCACACATGTAAGCTATAATTCTAATTTTGTTAATACCACTGGACAATATAGGACAGTGACATGCCCCACAATCAGGTTGGATAAGCCTGAAAGGGTTATCAGCGGGTAATTAGGTATGAAGTTAGAATAGAACCAGACAGCAGCTAATTTCCCCACAAAACATACCTAAGCATGAATTAATTGTATTAGTCACATGTGGTAATTTTTGTTAATTAACTCTTATTCGAGAATAATAGTGACATCCAAACACCAATGTAGGACACCACCATTCGGTAAACTCCAACCGAAACTGGGTAAACTCCAACCGAATTTGGTGCATCCCTGCCAAAGTAGGACACCACCATTCGGTAAACTCCAACCGAAACTGGGTCTATACCGTTCGATAGCTCATAGCCGAATTGCTGGGATACCTTTCTCTCACAAGTGTGGTTAGCAGATCCGAGAATTTGGTAAACTTTTGCTCTCTATACTAGGGCTGGAAAAAATCCCGAACCGTACCGAAAAAATCCCAATCCCAAACCGATCTCGAACCATTCGGTACTGGAATTGGTCTCATATTTTTCTTTGTTCGGGAATCCCAAACCGATATATATATATATATATATACACACATATATATTATTTAATTAACCATTCCTCTGCCCAATAACCTTTGGGAATCCAAACCGATATAATCATATATACATATATACATATATATATATATATATATATTATTTAATCAACCCTTCCTCTGCCCGATAACTTTAATCAACCATTCCTTTGCCCGATAACCTTTCTTTACTGGTTTTTCCTTTTTTTATTCTTTCTTTATCTCATGACTCATTGTTTGTCATCTTCACTAACCTTTCTTCTTTATTTTATTTCTTGATAACTCGCACTCTCATCCCACAGACAGCCACACACTCTCTCTCTCCCTCCACGGAGTCCCTGAAATGCAGAAGCAAGCTCAAGGCCTCCAAATGCTTTCTCAATTTTCAAAAGCAGCCACCCCTGCAGCCTGCTCTTCCCAAAACACCATACCCATTGCAGCATTCGTCTGAGGAACCCAATCATTCTTCCAAGACATCAGATCCATCACTCAAGCCTGCAAAGTAGAGTAGCCTTCTGATGGCAATTTCATTTGGCAAGACATGGAGAAGCTCACACATCGATGATGGTCGATACCTGATTCTGTTCGATGCACTTCGCAAAGCCTTCCAACTCCCGAAGGCAACAAAGACAAGCCCAGGAATGAGAGGATGAAGATGGGGGTGGGAAGGTCGACGAATCTAAGATAAGGTGTGGTCGTGTGGGCTGGCAAGGAAAGTGGGAGGTCTATGAATCCCGAACCATACTGAAATCCTGAAAAGATTTCGAGAATCCCAAAATTCGGGAATACCTTCATTTCAGTTCGGTTTTGGTTTTCAAAACTCTGTCCCGAAAAAAATCGATTTGGGATTTGGGATCCCATTTTTGGTTTGGGATCCTATATCGAACCAACCCTACTCTATACTGCTACTTCAGGAGCAATATAAAGTTATGGAAGGGCGAGAAAGATTTTCTCTAGTCAAAATTCAATCAGACGTAAACTTAAGAATTGTATCTATTCATAGACATAAAAAGGTTTCAATCATGTCTTGCTTCGGGCAAGAATTCATTTTTGCATGATTGGAAATGATCCATATCAACAGTGAGGTACTTCCATTTGATATGCTTAAGGCATAAGTTTTCAAATGAAGATCATGGCAAATGCTTATTAGCTCTTCCATACCATAACTGGCTACAATGATTTTGCAACTAGTCGTAGTCAAGCGGGGTGTCACGTCTTGTATCCACATTAAGTAGTTTCTTGATTGAAACTTCCAAATCAGTGAAATTGAACTTGTTACGGTTCGACAATACACTGAATGACGGAACACAAGAATGTGATTGATGCTTTAGGAAATAAAATTTCCATAAATAGCAAAGTTAGAACAATCAGGTTTTAAGACATGATTTGGTTTAAACGGATTTAAGCATAGTGAACATCGGGTCTCAACATTAGTGTTGCGCGTTAAGAAACTTCAGGTTTCTATGGCACTTTTCTGCAACTTCGGGTTCGGAAGTATAAACTTCAAGTTCATAATACCTGCAAATAAACACAGTATATACAAGACATAATATAAAGCAAAAGAAAACAAATATATTAATAGTGGGTACCTTTGGGACCATTTGTGTAAAAGTTTAGGGAAATGCCCTATAAATAGTATAGAGCTTTAGGTCCAAAAATTATTATTTTAATTGGCTTGGCCGCCGGCCAGGGAGAAAAAAATTGGGTTAATAGAATCCAAACCCAAATATGGGCTGAGAAAGAAAAAGTGAAAACTAAATCCTGATTTATAGGGTTTAGGATTTCATATGGGCTAAGTAAATAGGCCCAAAAAAACACTTTTTTTTTTTCACACGAATTGGACTGCGGGTCTAACTGGATGAAAAATAGAAAAAATAAAAAAATAAATAAAAAAAAAGTAGCCTGAAAGCCCAAATATTTTTTTTTGAGGCATGAGCCCAAGTCCAGAATAGGTTGCTAGGCTAGCTGCTAATGCAGCAGGTCTAAAACCAAAACGGGCCAAGAGGTTCTAGGCCCAAACTGGGGCTGTGAGCCTTTTGATATCCAAGCCCAGGAACGCTGGATTTGGGTTTCGACTGGAAACCTCGACGGTGGCTGCTGCTGGCGACGGCGCAGACACCAGAACAGTGTCGGATATCGATCTCAGATGAGGAGAGCCAGGGTTCGTTCTGGAACCCTTAGTTTCAAGATTGAGATATATTCTCAATGTCGGAGTCACGAGGAACACGGTTGGGGAAGCTCTAGGAATCGCGATCTGTGTCTAAAAAAAATCCGACGAAATGTTTTGACCGGGAAAATCGATCTTCATCGTCGAGATCGAAGGTGGTGGACAACTTCTGGCATCACCACAATCCTGCAATCGCCGAGATTTGGTGACGGGTGCGGCTGCTGGCGTAGTCCTCGATTTCGTCGAAGTGCAAGGGGCTAGGGGAAGAAGACGTTCTAAACAACGTCGTTCTGTGCTGGGGCCAAGAGCTGTGTGGCTTAACTAGGCTTGGCGCAGCCGTGGGCTGCAAGCCATGGTTTAGACACAGGTCTAGCGCGAGCTCGGTGCTCAAGCATTGGGCTCTCATAGATTAGGCCCAAATTTGAAACATATATATCCATGTTTTCAGGCCCTACTTGAGTTATAGGGGTTTCTTCTTTCTTTTTCCTTGCTTATTCACACATATTCAATTCACACAATAGCAATATTATGAATGTAATGCATAAACAATTTATGTAGGATCTAAAATCCATAAATCGTAAAATTGGGTCATGCATTATGGTGAAGGTTCATGCAATCAGACTAAAAAAACATCAAGATAAATACCGTTGTTTTAGAAGAACCTGGATTGCGTGATGAATATTGTGAACGGGTTTGTAGAAATTATTTCTTCAATTTCGACTCTCATCTTCAAGTTTGTATCACATTCAACATAAGAAAAAAAAATTGAATCAATAAAAGTATATGAATTCAATAAAATCAAAATTTAGTCAATTAAAAATAATTGAAAGTAATACTCCCCTAATTGAAGATGAATAAATTATCTTTAGCACAGCGTGAAGAGCATGCTGATAACGTGTTGTGACCTATATTTAGCTGAGGTGTGCAACATGGAGAGAAAGAGGGTGGAGAATGGACTTGAGGAATTGTGTGTTAATTCCCCAATCCTTGTGCCTTTATTTATAATAATAAGGAGCAGAGAAACTTGTTCTCCAAGTGATACAAAGTGTATTAGGAGAGATCTTTTAGATCCCAAGGATTCCTAATCTATCTCTACTTAGGATTTACACAATATGTATTAGAACATATGTCACATCAAAACAATTGTTTTAACCTCAAAATTTTTGCTAAAAAGAGAGTATATTCTTACAAGAAAAGACTATCGGGGTCTAATTTGAACGCATCGTCATCATGAGTATTTATGTATAAAAAGAACTTATTTGGTGATGCCAAAATAACCTAGAAAGAGAGTCGCACATGTGTTCCCATGCTTAGCTTCGCATATAACTAACATTCATATTTTTTTTGTATCACCTAGATCTTCACTTAGTGATATCTCTCTTTTTAGTTTACAAAGAAATCTCACTTTCGAATCTCTCATACCACACAAATTTAAAATTAAAAAAAAAAATGTAATCAATGGTGATATTGTCATTTCATAATAAGGAAAATATGTTACTTGTCCACACGTATGTAAATTGTTGATGTAGAAATGGTAGTCGTTGATTGGGGTAAAACCAGCGCCATTTAGTGATGCAATTGACATGTATGCAAACATAGTAACTTTTGATGCATAAATGGTAGTCGCTAATTGGTGCAGTACTCGCACCATTTAGTGAAACTACCCACGCGTATACCGAAATCGTTAATGCATAAGTGGTAGTAGTCATTGACTGGTGTAAGCCTCACACCATTTTGTATGCAAGTACCACATGTACATAACTGTACTTAGCATAATTTTCAAAATAAAATTAAAAAAATGTTATTCTTATGATCTATTTATATTATTATTTGTATTATATCTTTAATAAAGATAAGACCTATATATGTTGGTGGGCTCTTTCTATATTAGAGAAATGATACAAACAGACAGTAAATAAAACACTGCTGAAATAAAATTCAGCTAGACAAGCCAAAAGACAACGTGTCACATTTTCATTCGTCAAGAGAAAACTGTCTCACAAATATATAATGTCAACGCAACATTTCGCATTTCTTTCTTGACACTCTCTTTCCCAAATAGGGAAATTTGGGAAACGAAAACCCAATTCGGGGCTCGTCGGATAGCAACATAAAGCACAACACGCAGACACACAGCACTCGAGTTTCTGCCCCTCTTCTTCCTCAACTCAGTACGAGAAACAAGGCCAAACGTCAAAATCCCCAACACCCAAATCTTTGCTCCCAGAATCACACCACACTGGTACGCCGCAAAGTCTCACTCTTTTTTTCAATTTTCTGATAACTTTGCAGTAACCGGAGTTGCCTTTGCCTTTGTATTCTGATTCGCTTTTGAGACTCTGACGGCCTTAAAATCTATGATTTTTTTTTTGTGGGTTTTGTTCACCTGTCTCTGTGCTAATTGATCCTCCATTGGAGGTCCCTGATAGGCATAGAATGGATTGCCCTATTGGGGTTTTCAGACAGATAGAGGGTTTTTCTTGGATAAGTAGATTGAAACTCTATTGGGTTTTTGTCTCCTGGAACAGTTTCATCAATTGGGTTCTTGGGTTTTACTCAGATGAACTTTTTATTGCCCCCTTTGAACTAAGTATATTGCTTTGAGAATTGCCAGAGATGGGTTGCCCAAGTCTGTAATTTAATATGTATTGGAAAGAAAGGGTTTGGTTTTCTTTCTAATCTAATTTGTTTTTAGATTTGGGAATCCTTGAATGTGAAAATTTTGGAGATTAATTCTGCATAACCCTTTAAACATAGTCTAGTTTTAGCTTCTTGTGCTCAGTTTGCTTGATGGATTCGCGACGTAAGGAAATAAAACTTGGATTTGATAAATGGTCTGTAGTTGGTGTGGCAATAATAAGGTTCCTCTGTTGTTTCTCAGAAACCGTGGGGTGCAGAGGAAAGTTGGCAAGTTTTAATGCACTTGTTGCCCGCACAGCACCAAATTAATTTTACACTTTCCTCCTACATATAAACTACTATTTGGTGTTTTTAAGAAGAGTATATGACATATGCTCATGGGGTGGGTGCAAATCCATAATAATAGTGTGAGCTTGCAGCTTATTCAGCTGACCATTGGGTTAGTTATTGGATGACAAAAGTTGGTGCGTGAACCAGACATGGCAGAAGGAGCGGAAGTTGAGGACCGGGTGGATCTGGATGAGGACAACTTCATGGAAGAGATGGACGATGATGTAGATGAGCAAATAGATGAAGATGGAGTAGATGGAGGCAGTGATGAAAATGTGGAGGAGCATGTTGAAGAAGCACATGAAGATCCTGCAACAAAGGCTAGCGACACAGATCACCCACCCAAACCAGATGAAAGCCACAATGCTGGTGAATTTGTGGAAGATGGAGAGAAACCTTCTAGTCCTGTCAATGAAGAGGAGAAAGAGAAGCATGCACAACTTCTTGCCCTTCCCCCCTATGGGTCTGAAGTTTTCATTGGTGGACTTCCTAAAGACACTTCGGAAGAAGATCTGAGGGATCTATGTAATGAAATAGGCGAAATTATTGAGGTCAGAACTTTGAGCTCTTGTGCTTGTGACATTTTAACCTTATGTTTGGGGTAGACTGGAGTTGGAGTTGTATTTTCTGTGAGGATTTCATTCTTTAATTGTTTTCCAGGTAAGATTAATGCAAGACAGGGAAACTGGTGAAAGCAAGGGTTATGCATTTATAGGATTTAAGACTAAAGAGGTTGCACAAAAAGCCATTGAAGAGTTGCATGGTAAAGTATTCAAGGTAGTGATGTTTTTCTTTTGTAGTGTTGTGTACTATCATCTTTATTCCTTTTTAAGATAGTTCCAACGTGATTAACACCTATATTGTGTTTCATCTATGCAGGGTAAAACCTTAAGATGTTCACTTTCTGAAACTAAATATAGATTGTTCATTGGTAATGTTCCAAAAATCTGGACCGAGGATGAGTTTCGTAAAGTCATTGATGAGGTTGGTCCTGGAGTTGAGCACATTGAACTAATAAAGGTTAGATTTGTTAATCCATCTGTAGTCATGTTCATATAGAGATTAATGCTGCTTGGATTAATATTCTTATGGAATTATATTTGGCTAATTGCAGGATCCTCAAAATGCAAGCAGAAATCGTGGTTTTGCTTTTGTTTTGTATTATAATAATGCCTGCGCTGATTATTCAAGACAGAAAATGTCGAATTCAAATTTTAAGCTGGATGGAAATACCCCAACTGTTACCTGGGCAGATCCAAAAAGTACTCCTGATCATACTGCTGCAGCTCAGGTATACTCCAATTTCTAATTGAATGAATATCCAGTTTCAGGGGCTTAATAGACAAGTTCAAAGTTTTTGTTTTTGTTTGGAAAACTTAAAAAAGAAAATATTTCCAAAGATTAATCTATTATGTCTGAACTGCATCTGGTAGCATATCGATGCAAGTGAGTAGTTTATAAGAATCTGTGCAATGTGAGCATGATAGTAATGCCCCAAAACTTGGAAATAAATTCTTTTTCTTCTTTTTATCGAAGTTTTTCTTTATTGGAAGTGTATTTTATTTGCAAGTTTATTTTAATGTTTAGTGAGGGATTTTTTTGATTTTCAGAAATTAAAGAGTGAAGAGCCGAAATGAGTTATTGGCATTTCATATTAGTATAGAGATATACTCTAGTTATATTTTTAAATCGTTAAATTCATATGAGTCACAGTTTGACTTGATATGAACTTAGTTAATTTGTTTAAAAACTTTGATGGAGAATTTAAAACTCAGTTGCTCATTTGCTTGAAGTTTAAATGTCACGTTTTTCTTTCTATTTAAAATTTTCAGATTATGTTACTGCCTACGAATTGACATTTTCTTTCTGGTATGTTGTTTCTTTTACAAGTCCCAGGTGAAGGCTCTTTATGTGAAAAACATACCTGAGAACACTAGCACTGAGAAGCTGAAGGAACTATTCCAGCACCATGGTGAAGTAACAAAAGTGGTTATGCCACCTGGAAGAGGTGGTCAAGGAAAACGAGATTTTGGCTTCATCCATTTTGCTGAAAGGGCAAGTGCACTGAAGGCTGTCAAAGACACTGAGAAATATGAAATTGATGGTACGTATTTTGCACTACTTCAGGGGCTTTTTGAGAATCTAAAATCGAGCAAGATAAAACTCTATTTAGAAATTGTTCTTGGTAGTTTTTAGTTTGATGCAATGTCATCGATGCATCTTTTAACTTACATGCAGCTTGCACTAAGTTAAGTGTATACAGTTGATGATTTTGGAACTCCTTAACTAAAGAAACTAATAAATCTAGCTAAACTTGTTATGGAAATTCTATCAGTTGGTTTTACATCTAAAGTCAAGTGTATGGAGGGGTGTCCTTGTTTTGAGATTGATTTTTTGTTGGGTAGAGATTAGGGGCCTGAGGCCCAAAGATGCAGAAACTAACTGCAAGAGGAACAAACAGCCCTAGGCCTGTGAATACGAATAATGCTTTAGAAAAGGATTATACTCATGCCTGTAGGGGGTGCACTCATAATGCTACAACCACAGGCCTGAAGATATCCCAAAGTGGGTAAGCTAATCCACCACACAACCATCTCCTGGTAAATTTGTGAAATAATGAAATAACATAGGGGGTTAGTTCATAATGTTTTAAGAATTGGTGTTTCGTGTCAGGATTCATGGCGTGGAATGAAATGCTATATGATTTGGTTTGACATAGGAACTCATGGTGGAAGCATTAACTCTACTGTCCATTCTTTTCATCATTGCGGTTAAAGTTACTTCAATTAAATCAAATGTGAAACTTGTATTCCTATTATATTATAACAAACATATGGAACTTAAAAAATTTGTGGCTTCCATTAGGAACTCTCTCTTAAAATTTTAGAAATAACAGCTTGTAGGCTTGTAAATATCATGGTTATCTTAAAAAATGAAAAAGGCCTAAGGTTAAATGCTTTGTTTGCTTGTGCAAAGCTACTTAATGTGGATAATAATCAATAATCAATAGAGAGCTGGTCTTAGTTGAAAATGCTTCTTTCTGTTACATATGTTTATTTGATTTTTGTATAAAGTATCATGAGTTGGTCGAAAGACACAGGTCTGAAACGTCCTCTTTATTTCTTTGTTGAGTTCATAGTGTCTCCAAAATTAATATTCGAAGCTATTTGTTTATAGGTCATCCACTGGAAGTTGTCCTTGCGAAGCCTCAGACTGAGAAGAAACCTGATGGGGCTTATCCGTACAATGCAGGGCCTCATGCAAGCCACCTTGCACGCCCAGGGTATGGTGGTGGTTATGGCGGAAATCCATACGGCTCAGTGGGGGCTGGATATGGTGTTGCTGCAGGCTTTCAGCAGGTACATCACTGAATTATTTGTCATCTTGTACTTTGGTAGTCTAATTTCTTCTAACCGGTTTTACACGTGAACAGCCAATGATATATGGTAGGGGACCAATGCCTGCAGGAATGCACATGGTGCCTATGGTTTTACCGGATGGTCGAATTGGCTATGTACTGTAAGTTGTCATTTGTTCTCTGGGGGAGGACCTTTAGAATAAAAAATGATAAAATGTACAGAACAATGTCTCATAGAGATTGGTATTGTGCAGTCAGCAGCCTGGTGTACAGATGCCAACTCCTCGACCTCGAAGAGCAGATCGGAGCAATGGTCCAGGCAGTGGACGAGGAGGTGGTGGCAGTGATGAAGGCAACCGTGGTGGCAGAAGGTACCGACCATACTAGCGGGCAGAGGATTGAGGCTGTTTTTGGGATAAAACAAGGAGCATGTGATTGCTTGAAAGACGAATTACCCTAAAAAAGGGGAAAAATAACAGAACCACCTCTCCCTATTCCTTCTTTCTCTTTTCAGTGGAAAAGATGGGGTAGAAAAATGGAAAACAAAAACAAAAAAAGGCTTCTAGGATTAGGAAAAACTGAGGGTTCTATAAGTGAATGTTGGTGTCTCAGCGCAGTTAATGTATGCCCACAAGAAATGTTCAAGACTGATTGACAATCTAGGAATTGTCTCCTGTATAATGTAATGCAATTGTTGGCATTTTTTAATTGACACCTAGCAAAAATCAAAGTTTGATTTTATTGCCGGTACAATGCTACTGCATCCCAATTTTGTTGACACTGCTTTTTTCCTTCTGTCACATTTTGTTTAATAATCAAGGCTCGTTTGGCATTGCTTTTAGAACGGTTAAAAATTCATTTTTGGCTAGGCTTGGTACAATGTTTTGTCGTGCTTCCAACTAAATCATGTATGACAGAATGAGCATGCAAAAGTATTTTTAAACGGGCCTTTAAACTATTTTTGGTGAAAGGATCTTCTCTGGATCCATTTTGTGGGGATCCTAGGGATCCTCATATTATAGTCGTTCATCGTACATCGTGCTGCTAGTTTTTGTCAGGTATTATTTGTGTTTAATTTTAAATAAAAAAATCAAATAATTTCTGACCATATGATACACGATGAATAATTAATATGTGAGGATCTCTAAGATCTCCACAATTTAGATCCGGATGGGATCCAAATTCCTATTTTAGCTGATTACATGACTATTTGATCTGTTATGTAACAATGTGTATCGATGTAATCAACGTATATAGCACGAAAAAATATGGTGCCTCTCGCTTTGCTCTTAATGTATATAGCACGAAAGACATGCATAAAACTTCAAATAGAACAACTACGCTTTTAATTCAGGTTAATGATACAGTGCTATATGAATTCTTTACGTAGGCCTCGTTTCGCACACCATATTAAGCATCAGATAGTATTAATTTGGAGACTTACGTACTAAATAGTCGCTGGACTGACGAGTCCAGTCCAAGTTAATTAGTATGCCGCACACCCGCTAGTTAGTACACTCAAAAAGCTCAGTATAATTAGGGCTGGTTTGGTATTGTTGTGCTTTGAAAAAAAACTGTTTTTGCTGTGATGTGAGAATAAGCAGTTGTGAAATAAAGCAGCAAAATGTTTGGTAAACTTTTTTGTAAGTGTTTTTGAAAAAAAAAAAAAAAAGCAGTATTATAGTGTATGGTAAACTTTTATGTAAACAGATGTGAAAAACAGTCGGTTTTTCAAAGCTGGGTTTTGCAGCTTCTTGTTTTTGGCTTTTTTTCACCAAAAACTGTGAAAAAAAGCTGAAGCTGAATGTTTACCAAACACAAAAACAACTCCCATCTTTTTTTGATACCAGCTTTTTTCAGAATCACCTCAGTACCAAACCAAACCTTAGTCGGCCTCAGAACGACTCGCACCGCTCTTGCGTCTACTCCGTTTTCTCGTGTCTGTTGCTGGAGATTCAGAGCTACTCCCGCTCACACCTGATTGCATCATCTTCCTCATGGGTGTTTTCTCGTTTCATCTTCATCGTCTTCCTCTTGTTGCAATTTTCCTTTTTTTTTCTTCTTTTTTTTCTCTTTTTCTCTCTCTGTCATGTTTCCTTTAGTTTGTGATTTTTTCTATTTGATGGATTTGTGATTCTTGATAATTTGTGATTTTTTCTGTTTGATGTATTAGTTTGTGATTTTCGTTTTGGTATGGGTTTCAAAGGGATCTCGAATCTCCGAGCACTTCTCCCCTGTTCATCCTTCTTTGGTTTCTTTTGATTTATTTTATTTTTTTATTTTTTTGTCGAATTTATTTTAATTTAAATTATCATTCCTGAAATACTATTAACAAGTAATTAAAAAATATAACATAATCGATCCTATTAATACGGTGATTAGTCCGATATTTCACCAAACACCCGACTAATTTAATTAGTATTATCCGACAACTATTTATCTTATCTGGCTGAAATAATCAGAACAGTCCAAACTGCTAAACAAGGCCATAATATCATACTAATAAAACAGAATGTCACAGTAATTGTCTACACGTAACATGAAGGTCTTCCTCTATCAGGCTCATGATATTTGGCAACTGTCATAATGAGGGGACCAGCTAACGTTTTGGCAAATTCAAAGTTGTCTGTGGACAAGTCAGTTTGTGGATCAAAATCCAAAATCCAAAATCCAAAGTGGGTTTCGTTTTGTCCTAATTTGCGGATCAGTCACTCAATTACTCCAAAGGGACCCAATTATATAAAGCTGCATCAGATCACAAGAACCAACACACAAATGCTGTCGGTGTGTTGACAACGAAAACACCATTTACCAGAGTAATTCACCATTGCGTTTTTTAACATGTATCAGTTGCACACTTGCTTTGGGCTTCACCTTGCTTTCAGCTTGGTCTCAATTTTCTTGAGCTTGAAATCAGTTTATGATGGATCCAGGACTCGTGCTTTCTACCTCTCAATTGTCGTTCCTAGCTGGGAGTCAGTACACCGACCTCTTGCCACTCAGCTTATCGAGTGTTTCCTCTATGGATTTCATTTGGACACATTCTCTGGCTTTGGGTGGCTCATAAAATACAATTAGTTAGCATTATTTGGTAAGATTATGAGAGAGCACGTAGCACGGGTAGCTTGTCCACCCCCATTTTCTGTTCATCCACTTGCTATGTTGGAGGCAGCTATTTGGGCGGAGGCAGATGGCCCCTTTATTCAAATGTAGACTTTTCTGTTTTACAGTCGTCATGGGCTCCCCTTTTGGGGCTATTTCCTTGTATTTCTTATATGTCGGGTTGTAGTCTTATTTGGTTGTTTTCGATTGTCTTGGACTTTCATAACCCCGTATTAGCTTTCTATTTAATGGAATTAGCTTGTTTGACACACCAAAAAAAAAAAAAAACACACATAGATCAGCATTTGGTCGTTGACAAAGAGTTACTCAAGCAACGGAAATAAAGCAGACAGATGTTTTTTCATATTCTAGTAAATCTGAAGTCCAATTCAAGAAAAGGCCATCCATGCATACCTAATTTGACTGGACAGACAACAAACTTGCTTACGAGAAAACCAAATCATAGATGTCCCATAGAATCAAGTATTTGAGTGTTATGTAAGAAAATACAATAAGAAGTTTAATGAAATGGAGCATCACATCATTTTCCCTACACTTGGAACGCCCAAAAATATTAGGAGCCAAGTGTTGTGGCTACTTTTTCTAGACTCTTCTCGAGATAGTAAGAATTGCACCACTATTTACTTTAATTTAATCACGTAGGTCCGTCATAGAATGACCAAATCTATTTCTACATGGAGTTTTATATCAAAAGAACTCGGTGCAATTTAGAAAGAAGTAGCGATCAGTTCGACAATCATTTCTTAACTTAATACTTCATTACGATTATATAGTTCTCTTATGCGTAACGATTTGTATTCTACGATTTCTAAGAATGAGAAATACATGTATCTTAACATTTGAAGAGTTTCCATCCAAAGGAAAACCCAATGGCAAGACTTGCATTCTTTCTTAGGCATAGAAAGACCAACCAAGTAATGCAAAGTTTTCCGATAACCATTACCCAAAAGGTTCAAACATAGGCAAAGTTAAAGACTAAGAAACACAACAAAAATAAATTATTGAGTGATGAGGATGATAAAGGAGTCCATATTCAACTTTCCAAAGTCAAGAAGTAAGAAACAAGCTTAATTGCGACGCAAGAAAAGGTTTACTACATCATTCAAGAAAGACTAGACTGCCTAAACATTAAGCCAAACAATTCAACACGGCACTTCCTCCACCATATTACTTTATCATATATGGCATGTATGACGGCGGATTTATCTCAATGGAAGAATGAATGTATGGATTTTTAATTAACATGTAATTTTGCTGGTGTTACGCATTAGTTTGAATTTCCATTCTCGTATTTGTAATGTTGTTGCACATTGTTAAACTAAGTCTGTGCTTTCAATTGGAAATTACCTAGTTTGAGTTGAGGACCCTCCCGGTATTGTCCTTCTCAAGATTCGTTAGGCAAGAGAAAGACTGAATCTTGCATGATGCAACGTTGAAAGGAAACTGAATCTTGCATGGGTTTATAAGTAAGTTGGGCTATGTTGAATTTATTTATTAATTAATATGGAGTTGTTACATAATATCTAATATTACGAAATTGGCTTTTAGGGCACACTTCCAACAGGCTACTCACAATATTGTTAATTGGTTTTATGGTGCAACTTCAACTTTCTTCACACTGTTGTCACAGTGGACACTTCAAATTTGATATTTTATTTAGGATGAGAAAAAAAAAATCATTGAATTGTTTAAACCTCTCAAACTAAACCAACATGATTAATATACAAATTTGGCTAGAGCAGTGTGATCCACGCTTTGCATCAAGCTCGATTTCTCATTCACATAATCTTGATGTATTTGGTATAATTATCTTATCATTTGTGCCACATTTGTGTGTCGTATGATGTATCAATTGATAAGTTTATCTCATTGTATGTTGATTAAAAAGAACTTGATTAACTTTGTTTGTTTTTTTTTTTTTTTTTTTCACTAGGAGAGTTTAATATTGATTCAATTTATTTATGGTATAATTATGGATCTCCTAAAATAACATTTTGATAGTTTTAATTAAAACTTTGTTATAAAATATGAAGCATGATTGGAGATGCTCTTACACCAAAGAAAACGATTGAACCAACCTAGTCACCAATTGATCAGTTTAATTTATGTATGCTACAAATTTGAAATTTAAAGCAAACCAAATCACGCACTAAATTTTTGTGCATAAAAATAAGTAAAGGTTAACAAATAATATAATTCACACTAAAAATTAGGAATACATAGAGGGGCATAATTCCAGCCTCAAAGGGCCTTGGAAGAAAGCTCTTGAAGGCGTTTTCCCAACTCATCCAACCTACTACCCCACTCGCTTTTCACACGCAAGGGCCTCACGTTACCATACTCGTCCACACCTTCCTCTTCCCTGTGACTGCCCGCATAGGATGACGACGACGACGGCGGTGCCTTCTTCTTTTTCTTAACGCTCTCTCTGTTTTTCTTCGCCGCTGCTCTCTGCATGGCGAAAAGCACATCCGACCCACTAATTACCTTCTTACCCTCTTCATCTTGCTTTTGCTTTCCTTGTAATTTTGGGTTGGGATTGGATTTGAGTTTTGTGAGGATTGATCGGCCTAAGCCTCCGAGGTCTTGGGATGGCGGCTGAGACTTTGCGGCAATAGAAAGGCGGACGG